ACATCGTCAGATTTTGATGATACAAATTTTTTATCAAATTATTCATCCGTATTAAAAATTATTTTATTTGCATTAATTGCAATTGAAAAATTTTCTCATTCATTAGAATCTAAACATATTCTATTGCAATCCTTAACAATTAATAATGAACAATCAAAAATGAATGTTTTGGAATATTATGAACCATGGGCTCTATCAAGTAATTGTCTTAAACGACAAATCGGTAAGTCATATTATACCTTTTCTTTTTGTAAAAGATTGTTGATTTTTTTTGTAGGTTTTTATGCTCAATGGTTACTTGATAATGTATTTATACTTGATTATCGTCGACCATCTTATGAAATAATTGATCATCGTTATATAAATGTTATGCTTAATGATAAAGATGTTAGTGAATATTTAAAAATTGGTCCTGATGGACTTGAAGCACGTAGTGATACAGTTTCATTTGAAAGTGTTCGATGTACATTTAATGTTAATTCAGATGTTTGGTATTATGAAGTACTTATTGTTACTGATGGTGTTATGCAAATAGGATGGGCTACAAAACAATCAAAATTTATGAATCATGAAGGTTATGGTATTGGAGATGATCAATATTCTATAGCATATGATGGATGTAGAAATTTAGTTTGGTTTGGTGCAAAATCTATACCTCATAATAATCCAACATGGAAACCTGGTGATATTGTTGGTAAGATTTTAGTTTTAGAAATAGAATCATACTGAACTCTTCTCTACGCGAAAGAGAATATCTTTATTTGAACCTTTATTTTTAATCTTTTTTATATAGGTTGTTTAATTGATTTCGATCGACGTGAAGTTATATTTTCATTAAATGGTCGTTCACTTGATCCATTTCGTAAATTATTTTCATCAACATCAGATCCTATTACTGATGGATATTTTGCTGCAGCAAGTTTTATGTCTTATCAACATTGTCGTTTTAATTTTGGTTCAGCACCATTTCGTTATCCACCAACAAATGTATCTTCATTTAAAACATTCAATGAATATGGTCATTTATCAGATGATGAAAAACTTATTTTACCAAAATATAAAAAACTTGAATTATTACGTGCAATTAAAATAAGTGATCAAGATTGTATATTATGTGTTGATGATCTAGCTAATATATTACTTAAACCTTGTCAACATACTGGTTTTTGTGAAGAATGTGCTGCGAAATTAGATATTTGTCCTATATGTCGTTCGGATATTCAAGAACGATCGATAATAACTGACTGATTGATTTATTTTTCGTTTTTTCTGCTGCTTTAACATTTCTCACGAACAGTTTGATGCATTCCAAAATAACAATTAGCATTATTCTCCTTTTCTTTTTTTCATTTTATCTAGTCGTTTGTATTTAAGTATTGAACACCATTTAGTATGTTTATATATATATAAATTATTCCTTTTCTTTTCTTTTCTTTTTTTTTATAAATGTAGACAATATAATATAATTCAATGATACCAATATGGTCTCATTATTTGTGAATATTGTATGCCGAAATTTAGAAAAATATTTTTTTTTCATGAATGATACTATTTTTCTTGCTTTTTTGAAATAAAACTAACTTTTCAATTCGTCATTTTGGTACATAACTGTTATTCATTGAAAGAAATTAATCTTATATCACTACAATATGCAATTTGTATGGGTGTTTATGCCATCTTGAGGGTGTGGGTGATAAGCATTACTTGATTCCACTCACCCACATCCACACCCTCTCTCATATATATAAAGATGAGATAGATACTGGAACATCTCCTTGTTTTTTTTATGAACTTTGTAATTATAACAGATAGTTATTTATTAAAAAAAATATACAAAAGTAATAAAAAATAAATCATTTTGTAAACGATTGAAATCGATTTCTGTTCGAAAAAAAAGAAATATATAATGATCGACCTTTGATCTGTTATTGCTGAGCATTTTCGATAACATTGGCAACTTCTTGAACATTGTCATAATGAACAAACATATGTCTAAAATCCAAAGAAATAAATAACAATTGGGACATTCACTTCAGTTTGATGTATTATTCTTAGGGTGTGGGTGGGTGTGGGTGTCGGTGTAGGTGTAGGAAATGAGTTCGCTCACATTCACACCCATATCCAAGCCCACTCACACTAGTGAAGTCCTTCATAGATAGTCCCTTACCAGCCAATGTCGACGAACTGGTATATTTTACTGCATCGTCACCATTTGAATGATTTGATGTTTCATCATCGTTCGTACAGTTTAATGGTTCACCAGTATTTAAAATATTTGATTGGCCATCATCATCTATACAGTTTGGTGCACCATAATCACCAGAACGACTTGTTCTTTCAACACTATTCGAATCATCTAATGATGTTTCATCAAACGAATCTTGAGATGGTGATGATGAAGATACATCATTTGTTTGTAGTCGAGTACTGATTAAAAAAATAGTACTATTATATGGAGGAAAACTATCAGTACTAATGCAGAAACAATCAATTTTAGCTCGTAGTCCCATGATATTTTTACATGCATCCTGGTCTTTTCCTTTCTTATATTAATAGATGTGAATAAATGTCTCACCGATTTGATGCTGATAACAGTCGTGAAGGTCACTCAAATTATCGTATTCACTTTCTTGGGAGTCGGTCCATGTACGGTCTTCGAGGATATTGTTCAGTTCATTAATATGATCATCAGCGTGCTCAACAACCTAATACAATCAATAACCATATCAAAATATATCTAGGGTATGGATGTGGATGCGGATGCGAATGAAGAATGAACTATACACCGACACCTCCACCCACACCCTTCATCATCAGATGGTTCAACAAGTGTTGAAAGAACAAGTCGTTCTGGTGATGATGGCGCATCAAACCGTATAGATGATGATGATCAATCAACTATTTTAAACATTGGTGAACCATTAAACCGTACGAACGATGATGAAACATCAAATCATTCAAATCGTGACGATGCAGTAAACGTTACCAGCTCGTCGACATTAGCTGACAAAGGGACTATCTATGAGTGTAAGCGAACTCATTTCCCACACCCACACCCACACCCTCAGAATATATTGAGCAACTGGGTAAAATTTAAATAAATTCAAAACTGTACAATCTTATTGTCAAATTGCATGGGATGTTATATCGGAAGTAAGCTATATTTGTTCTTAAATAAATAAATATTGATTTCGTTTTCAATTATAGTTAATGGCTGTACCTGTAAAAAATTCGATATTTTTTTATGATGCCACGGACTGGAAGATGGAAAGAGTCTATCAACAATATTCAACACAAGAAGTTCGTTTTAATATAAAACTATTGCAAAATAGTAAATATTTCTTTTAGTATGTGTGGATGCGTTCTAAATGCTACTGTAGTAAATCTTACAGAGATACACAAAAACAAATTCACAACCGATATTGAAATTTAAAAAATCTCGGAACATCTTCCTATGATCGGATATTTGTTAGTTAACAAAAGATAAATCTACATTTATATGAAAACTTATCAATAGAACATTTACATACGAATTTATCGACGAGCGCCTAAAAATAGAAAACATTTTCTTTCTTTCTTTCTTTCTTTCTTCGCAATAAAATTCTATTTGTAAAAAATCATGTTAAATATTATTGCAATATGTTTACTTGTCTCAGCTAGTATATGTCTTGTTTTGGTAATTAGTATTACAATGTATATACTTCATGTTATTAAACATCGTTCAACGAATGTTGGTTTTGCTATTAATATAGCACAAAATATTCTTAAACGTAGATTACTTGTTCCATTAATAATTTTACTTCGTGTTCATTTACCTTTTCCAATAATGCTTATTGTAACTATTTTAAGACGAAAATTGACAAAGAAATCATCACCACAAACAAAAATAGAAAAAGAACAAGAAAAAGAAAAAAAACAAAATATTGAAAATTTAAACTAAATTTTCTTCTTTTTATTTTTTTCAATGACTTCTGTAAAGCATATATATATATATCATACTAAATCGTCTTAATTCTCAATTTCATATATAACTATTCTTTCTTTATTTGAGATAAATAACTTTATAGAATATTTTAATTAAATATCACAGTATAGATAAAAAAACAACTGCTATTATTCACACACGAAAAAGAAAAACAGAATGTTTGTTCAACCTGACTAGGTGCGTAAAAAGAAACACATAAAAGTATATTATCATTTCTTAAGCTATCATTGGTGCTTGTTCATCACATTCACTATCATTAACATGATTCTCTATTGGTACTAAACGAGTTCGTTCTGGTGTTATTATTTCATGACGATTTCCACCAATATTCGTTTTCCATAGACTTATTACCATTAGAATAGTAATAATAGCAACTCCGCCTGGTATAAATGATAATATTTGTCTATAATATAATTCACATTGTGTTGTTGCATCAGCTGTACATGGATTCAGTTGTTGAATTGTAGCAATAGCAATACCATTCGCAAGTTTATCTGCAAAAGACATTATTCCATAAACAAATGCTCCACATTCAGTATTTAAACCAATTAAATCTGATGTAAGCGAAAATGAACATATATTTGTTGTTGATGTACCAATACCAAGTAAAACACAAGCAATTATTAATGTTATTTCAACTCTCATAATAGGTTTTAATTCAAAAATAAACCAAAATAAGAATGTACTAGCAAGAGTAAATATCAAACCAAGTATCATTGTTACTTTTCGACCTAAATGTTTATTTATTGCACGCATAGGAAAAGATGCAAGTAAACCACTTATATAAGAACATAATGGTGCAATAGCAACATAAATTCGATTAAGTTTTGAAATTGTATCTATTATATACAATGGTAAAAATACCTAAATAGAAACTCAATTATTCTTTCTTTTTTTTTTGTTTTGATTTTTACCTGTGTAACATTAAGAATAACACGTGTAAACATCCAAATAAGTGCACATTGATAAAATTCTTTTTCACGTAAAAAACTTTTCCATGTCATTCGTTTCAATTTTCCACTTGAAGTTAATGATAACTGTAAACGATATTCTGTTTCTTCTGCTGGTAATATTGATTCTTTTATACCAAGATGAAATATAATCATACAAATAAGACCAATACCAACAACAATAAGTGTTAATGTTTGAAATATATGTGCATCACCTGGTGTTATATCTGTTTTGTCATCACTTGAATGAACACCCAATAAAACACTGGCCATAGCATAAATAAATATATTTGCTGAAACTGTACAAGCATAACGATATGAATTAAGGGCAACACGTTCACCTTCTTTATGTGTTAATTCATTAATCATTGCTCTAATAGAGAAATTCTAGTTAATACTTTCTATACAACAACAACAACAAAAAAATATATATCTACAGTACTTACAAATGTGTTATTTGTGAACATGACCAACCAAATTGAAAAATAATAATAAACATTGCATAATAAATAAATTGTGCCCATAAATCACTATATCGACATCCAACACATAAATTAAAACAAAATGGAAATGATAAAAGTACACAAATAACACCCATAAGATGCCAAGTTTTTCTTCTACCATATTTAAATAAACCGGTACGTGTTCGATCAGATTCAAAACCGACAAATGTGGTTGCTATAGCATCAGCTACTTGTCCAATTAAAAGTAAATAACCAGCAAATGCATTAGAAAACATCACAATACGATGATAGAAAACAAGTAGGTAAGAAAACCACATCGATGCACTTAGATCATTAAGTACATGTCCAACACTATAAGCTAATTTCGTCCTTTTTGAAACAACATCTGGTTGTGAAGGAATTGGTTCCATGATATTTTATTGAACACAAAATAAACTAAAATAAAATCAACAAATAAAGATAGTTATCAACAAAAAAAGAGGCTCGTTATTCTTGTTCTACTTTAACTGCAACAACTCATCATGTCTTTATATTAAAAAGAATTCTAAACATATAGGTAAGAAAAGCAAATCAAAGAAAGATAGTATAGATAAAAAGCGTTATGACTGTCGTTTGAAAAAATAATTTCTTGATAAGAATTTTACATGTATATACAATAGTCTCATATAATCTAAATATAAACTTTTGACGAATTACAAACAACGAGTAATAAAAATGTACATTATCATTAATTAAAAAGAAAAATATTTCGTTTTTAATTCTTATTTATTTTATATAGAAGATTTACGTTAATCGAATTAAATATTCATCTTTTCTTCATATTTTAAAATAATGGGCGTACAGAGTTAATAGCATTTTTTATCTTATCATTTAACAATGAAACATACGCATTTAAATTCCGCAGTATATTAATAAACTAGAGATAATTAGACTATGACTCATCATTTATTTAAATCTATTAAATGTTTCGAACATTAATTTATGATAAATTTTTAGTGAACCTATGAAATTAATAATGTTTTTATTCAATACATATTTTATAAAATTAATCATGTAAACATTGCATGATAAGACTTTAAAAATAAAACATTAACTGTTCTTTAACATAACATGATAATATTGACTCATCAAGGTAATAGAACACGTTTTTTTAAACTAATGTAATGCTGATAAGAGAAAAATAATTATAAACATATTTTGAAATCTTATTCAAGTAAAATTTCAAAAATTATGCATCTTGTTAAGAGTTCTTTCACAATGAATGTTTAAATATTTATATGATAAAATTCACATGAGACAGTAGATGAAGAGTACGTCATATATTTAACATGACACCCATCAGATGAAACAAAATTAGAATATTTTACCGTCTAACTTCAAAGAAAAGTAATTGACATATATCTCTGCCAGATAGATTTTTTTTTAAATACATTTGTTTATTTATAATAAATATTATTAGTTATATTTCAAAAATGAATGTCAAGATTAGTACAATAGGAAACAAAATTGAAAAATATTATATTTTTTCACATATGTTCTTTAATTTATTGCAATCATGTAAAAGTTCTTTTTTTTTCAAACGGAAACCAAATGACCGGGAAAAATTCTTTTTTTTCTCCATTAATAATTATATATATATACAGATACATATGCACAAAGATACTGTCTTCGTAATCATTAGTTCAATAAAAGAGATTGAAAAAGATAAAACACAAGAAATAAACACAAAGAAAAGAAGAAACTACTGTTTCTAACATAATCAGGTTAGTTGAATATCTAATCAATAAATGTCCAAACTTCAACACTTGCAATTATAAAATCTTCTTTCGATGATAATCGAACATTATTAAATGTTTTACTTGGACATGTACGACCATGATATAAATCAGCATCAAGCCATAAACCATATGTACCTCTAGAAAATTGATTTATTAAAAAAAGAAGAGAAAAGAAATATTTCTTAAACATACTCTCCACTACCAATTCCAAGTGTTTTAACATCACCTTTGACAAAAAATTGATTATTACCAGTCCAATGAAATACCTAAAGGATAATAGTATGTTATATAGCATGAGAAATCTCATTTTAAATCTCTTGTATTCCCTAGAGAATTATTACATCCTTCCGAACTAGACACAAGAGTCTAATAATCTCAAACATCTATATATATTTTTATTTTTAACAAAACACGCGATTTCTTGTAAAAGAAGAAGATCTTAATATTCAAACGAAGAAGAACACTTTATATTCATCTGAATAGTATTTCATTATAAATAGAAAAATATCAATTTTCTTTTGTATTAGTTTATGAAATAAATTAAGACATCAATTTACGCAGAGAAATTCGAAAATTTCTGCACTCATTTGTAACGATCTATAATCACATCATTAATATTTATAAATAGGGATTTTCTTCGATCAAAATAATTTAACCTACTTGAAATTTTGGATAAAAAGTAAAAAGAAATGATTCTCCAGTTCCATAAAAACCTTCACTAATCATTAATTGTTGTGATATATAGGCACCAAACATCTAATTGAAAAATAAAAAACACAATTCCTATAATATACAAAAGATTTCAATATTTTTCTTTACATTTTGTTCGACATCTTTAACAATAAGTAGAGCAGGTGCATCTGAATCAACTTCCATTGATCGACGATAAAGTTGATTTAAACTAAATCCATTTGTTTCTGTACTAAATATCATATTCCAATTAAGACCATGTACACGTGCTGGTAATTCAAGTAAAATCTTTCAATATGAAAATAAAAACAACAATATATGTATGCATATAGTCGATTTTGTATATTTTTAATACTTGTTTAGATTGTTCTTCGTCAACAAGTGTAGATGGTTGAAGAAGTTTAGGTGGCGGTATACCAATATCAGGCGTATGTGTCGGATTTGCATGTGTTGCATTTATACGTCGATAAATTTCATCAACACTGATGATCTAAATAGATAATTTTAAATTTCCGTTCCGTGTTTTTCCGCTATGATGTATATATTAATTAAATGTGTATTTTTATTTTATTTTTTTTCATACCGCTGTCGAACTATTTCGTCTATCTGATGTTAGTTGATTGAGTACTGATGATGGTAAAAGACTTTTCGCACGTTTTTTTAAATGTAATAATTGTTCTTGATGATGAGGAATTTGATCGAGAAAATCTTTTTTTGAATCAGATAAACGTGTGGTTATAGAATGAAATGTAAAACGACGTGAATTAAATGGTGATGATGGATGTGGAGTAGATTCATTAGAAGAACATGAAGTATTCGATAAAACTTTAGATAGAGTACGCATCATAATTATATTTCTTAGTTAATGCTTATATTAGTATAGTTATAAAAAAAAGAGAAGAAAAAAAAAATATGAGAGAAAAGATAGTTGTATTTCTCTCGTCTTAAAATTCCACCAATCCTGTGGATAGAATTTCTGTGTTATTCTTCTGTCACGATTTCATCGACAAACTGCATTATAAAAAAAAACATATAATTGTGTTGAAAAAGAAAAGACGAAGATCATATGAATGATGTTATATACAAACATAATTCAGTTTTTCATTTAATGAGAAGAAACTTTTGGTTAAGAAGATAATAAATAGTTTTCAGAAGACATTTTAGTAATTATTAGGTTTTATTGTCTGCTGTTTGATTATAATCTTTTTTGAATATAATAGAATGACATTGTAACGGATGATTACTTCTTTCTTTTTTTCTATGTCAATGTGATAAGAAAAATGTTTTCTTCTAAGCATTAAATACTAGTGATTCAGAAAACTAAGATAAATTGATTACACCCCTTGATAGAAATGTCCTTGTTAAGAAAAATAATCTTTTTATATATAATGAAAAACTACAGTTAATATTAAAATTATGGTTTTGACGTGATATTAAAAACAAAAGATGTCTGGTTGATTATAATAGAAAATTTATGTACGTATCTATTTCGAAAAAGATCAAATGTATTTTTAATGGAATCATTCAAGCAAATATCCGTATGTCTAATATAGAAAATAAAAAAATCCTTTTTTTATTTCTTACCTCCCATTCTTTCAATAATGTATTTTGTCGTTTTAAATAATGTTGCTTTTTTGTCGATGTCGTACTATCTGATGTTGCATGTGATTTAGAACTATTATTATTTTTATTATTAGAAGATACATAATCATCTGTTAATTCCGGATCATCATTTGCTAATAAAACAAAACCTTTGCCAGATGAGATTTCATTTTGTTTTGATTGGCTATTAGATACATGACGATTGACTTGATTTAATGAAGTATTACTATTATCCGGATGATCGTCATCAAAATATGGATCTAATGCACGTTCAGGACTCCAACGAAGAAAAAATGCATACAAATGATCAATTCTAAAAATATATATAGATAAGATATAAATAGATTATTTATGCACTTCGATTTTGTAAAAGATTAAGATCTAACTAATTTTTTTTATAATTGCTCTATAGGGCATATCTTAATGATTCGATCAAAAATAAAAAGAAATATTGAGGAATTACTATATTATTGTATGCACTATTCACATTCAATTGAGTTTACTGTAAATTCTAGAACTCATCAGGATCTGTTCTTTTCTTTTCCTTTTTTTGATGATGATGACTTTGATTCTAATTGAAATTTGAACTATACACGCCTCAATTAATATGTTAATGTCTTCTTGAGACATTCGATATCGTAGCTATATTTAGTAACAATTTATCTTAATTCATTTTCAAGTGACTTTTAAGAGTCAATATTCTAGCATGTCGTTTAGTACTAGTTAAAATAAAAGAACTAAATAGAGAAAAAAAAGCTTCGATTTAGTTTAGAATTTAAAAATCTATGTAATTATTATCGTTGACATTTGATCAGAATTGAACTTAATATCAGTGCACTGAAAATGAGATTCTATAAATAGTAATTTATTTAATTGTCAAACCTACATCGTCTGGCAAATGTAATCGTTATTTTAGAGTTGGTAGACTTATTAATATATCTACACTCTCAAGATGGCTCGAATTGTTCCTTATTCAGCGCTGTCGCTACTCTAGTTTTAATGCAAAATTAATAGAACTCCCACACGAAAAAAAAATAGTTCTGCTGTTTTCTAGAGACAAAATTCTTACTTTTCTTTTGGAACAGAAAACCAATATTCATATTCAAGTTCTTTTTTTCCATAAACTTCATCAAACATTTTCTTATTTGATCGTTCATATACAGGCATAACATTATTTGCAATTCTACTTGTTTTTATACATAAATAATATGGAATTTCAATTGGATGTGGTGTAACATATATTTCATGTTGTTTTTGTAGTAATTCTATATTTAAAAAAAAAAAAGAAAAAGTATTTTATATTTTTCTAAATAAATATTTTTTTCTTACTATCAATTTCACCGAAACGTCTATTAAATTCATCATTTGGTATACAATTTTCTAATTGATAAGTAGCTAGAAAATAAAAAAATTATTGTATTTCAAAATATATTCCTAGGGCGAAACAGCAGACTTCACAGATTTCAAGAGACTTCACGGACTTCAATGGACTTCACAGATTTCAAGAGACTTCATGAGACTTCATGCATGAAGTCTCTGCTGTTTCCCCCTCGATCTATTCTTTATTTTTATGGGATAGAACTTACATGATGGAATATCTTTGTCATTAATTAATATTCCACTGGAATGTTTAACACCGTCAAGTGAATAGAATAGATCTTCGTTATCCGTTGATATACGACGTTGATTAGCTGAGGAAGCATTAAATAACATTCGACTTGTATCAATTGATGAATTGAATTCTTTATCAATTTTATCTAATAATGATGACATTAAATCATGTACTTGTTCTTCATCGTTATTCATTGAAGTTGTTGAACATTGATGAATATTTTTTATACTTGATGAATGACACATTTTTCGTTTCTCTTCATCTCTATGAAAATAAAGATTCATTTTTCTAAATAAAATTTATGATATTTCTTACCGTAAATTCGCTTCATGTTCATACATTGCAATATCTTCATATAAGGCAATACCAGCAAGTAAATCCATACTGAAAAAACAAAACAATAACGAAGAGTTAAATTGATAAATGAACAAACCGAATTATTAAGCCATATTTATCAATACCATGTTCTTTAACTAATGAATCGAGAACATCGGGATCAAACATAACTGCATTTGGCGTAACAAGAAGAGTACCACCAACGCTTTTCTAAAATGAAAAAGATATATAAATAATTTAAGAGTTATTGAAGAAAGTTTTTCTTATGTTTCAATCGAACTAAGACCTATTATAAATACTATTTAATAATCTTAAGTCCTTCAGGATAGTTCTAATTTTATTTCTACAATTTCCTTTACAATTATTTTTCATCGATGAATCGAGATCATTAGCACAATCAACAACTAATCAATTTCTCTTCCTTAAGATTGATTATACGATCCTTGGACAATCTCACATGCGAGAATTAATAATACATGCACTAAAATTATTTCTTATTATTGAAAAAAAATTTGATTGATAAATATTTATTTCAACAATATTTTAATAGGTGTTAAAAAAAATATTTCTAGACATAACAAAAACGTTCTTGATTATAGGCAAAATATTTACATCATGTTTCATACTTAATTCCCATCGGAATTTCACTAAAAGCTTTATAGAATAGAATAATTTTTCGAAAATCAAATTGATGAATTAATCTATAAAGACTTTATTACAATCACATATTCGATCAGTACATTGTTGACCAAAAAAAGAAGTATAGTCCTAGAAATTTTTCATCTATCTTATTAATTATTAAAAATATATGGTTGAATACATCATGCATAAATACTTAAGAAAATCTGATTATAAAAATTATTGTTGTTGTTTTTTTGAAAACTTACATGATCATCAGTCATCAATCGAACATTAACTTTAATAAAACGTTGTAAACATTCTTCATCTAATTGATGATTTTCTTCAATTGAAAATGTTTTTTGTAATTGTTTTACTTGTTTAGTATTATCTTCTTTATGTGTTTTCAAGCGTTCTTCAATAGTTCGTGATGATGATGAATCACTTTCTGTACTTGCTTCACTTTTTAATCGTTGTGCACGACCTGGTTTAGCTGTTGATTGTCGAGACATTGACCAAACCATGGCTCCAGCATCTTGTTGACTACTTGGAGGAGATGATCCACTTGATAAACGACGATCAGTATGAACAATGAATGTATCACCATCTTTAGGTTTTGATGATGATGGTGTTATTATCGGAACAGTTGGAGTTGGTTGTTGTTTTTCTTCAACAATTGTATTCGAATAAGGCGCATCAGGTACATAGAGTATCTATAAATTTAATATATGAAACTATACATTAAGTTTGAATGATCTTATAAGGTATGACAGTTCACAACAAGAATTCTCATGACAATTGATCACATAGTCGGATCTCATATAATCTCAATGGAATTACTCATAAATTCGTCGAATCGAAAGTCTTGAATGATTCTATTAATTATATTATCCTCTAAATTCATTGGTTGTAGAATAATATCAGATGTTCTACGAACATATTTTTTCATTTTTCTAATCTACTATTATCTAAATACTGAAAAGAAATTTGCCAATGATTTGACATACATTAGGGAATTTATAGTCAAAGAATTGTCTTGTTGAAATACATGACAGTCAAAATCTGATAGAACAAAAACATGAAAACATACTTGTCCAGGAAAGACAATCCGTGTATTCAATTTATTGAGCTGAAGTAATTCGGACGGTGTTAAATTAAACTGAAGAGCAATTTTTTCTAATGTATCATAATTACCAATCTAAATATATATATTCAATTATAAATAAAATTTTCTAAGTTTAATATCAATCCACATACTGTATAAGGTATTGTTCCTTTTGGTTGCACTAATGCTCGCCCACGTTTAGAATCACGAGCTAAATATTCAGTCATAGAAATATTGATCTTTTTTTTTTGTATTGGAAAAAAATTCCTACTTGGATTCCTTTTAAATGGATTTAAGAGACTTTCTACATCTGTCGTTGTATTAATTAATGATTGTGTTGCATCATTGTCTGTATTCATAGCCAATAAAGGTATATTCGATGAAATACTTGCTATTGTTGATTGTTTCGAAACAGGTTCAGTAGTATTTCTATATATATATAAAACATAAATATAATAAATATCGTTTTTAGGTTTAGCTAACTGAGTTCGATTCATTTGCTTAATGTCTCACTGGATTTATTTCATGATGATTGATGTTAGTAGAAATTCTTGTGTGATAAACATAGAATGAAAAAAAAACACGACAATGAATAACCGTAGACGAAGTGATCTAGAAGAAAAATATAAAAAATAACCTTAATTTTTTTTTTTAGAATTCTTTCTTTTCCTATACTTCTTGAATAAGTCAATGGTTGACAAATCTAAAAATTATATCACTTGTTTTTTTACTTCTACATTAAAAAGTTAGCGCCCTATATTGAATAACAACTTTTAGTTTAAAACGACAAAAAAAAACACATATCGATCAATATTTTTCTTTTCTTTGCTTCCGTCTTGCTTTTTTTTTGGAATGAACTAATTGAATTGATTACATTATATATTGCTCTAGTACGATCGACGAAAGAGAGAGAAAGTGAAAGAGAGAGAATAAGAAAAAACTACTCGTGGCAAACAAGCTAAGACGAACGTTGATGGAAAAAATAATTGTGTGCGTGCTTCCGTCAAGATTAATTCTTTATTGGGGGATTAGATCAACCAATAGGTAACGATCATATATTAATTACCAAAATAATATTTTATTAATTTTTAAAAAGTATACTTTTCTTATAGAAATAAATATTTACCAAGAATAAATTATTTTAATATTGTCAAAAACAACGAACTTTATTGGTTAATCATGAAAATGAGTTTGAATGGCGACCATGGGAATTCTTCTTTCTATTATTCATAAAAAACGTTGTCGAACTAAAAAGAAACATGTTAACTCGATTTATCTCTACTATTACTCATCATCAAAATATAACATCACTTCGTCTAATAAGTACTAGTGTACTACGATTAGGCGATGGTGATCATACAAAATCAAAAGCTGAAGAGAAAGCAGCAGCTGATCTTAAAACAGGCAAAGAAAAACGATGGTTAGATACAGTAGCTTCCGATAGTGGTAAATACAGAAAATAATTAAAAAAAAACCCAATATGTATATATCTATACATGTTATTTTCTATAGAAGCCATTGTTAAAGGTGAAAAACAACATGCTAAAAAACAAGGTGATCTCAAGAAAGATGTGTCTAAACTTCAACAAGATACGATTGCAGCTGTTAAAGATAAAGAAGCTAAAGGCCATCTACCAAAACATGATGTTGGTCGACGAGATACCCATGAAGAACGAATTGGTAGTGGCGGTAGTGGTAATACCAAACAGAAAAAACGTTGATAAACTTCACTTCTGTTTGGAATTCTATTTTTGTCCTACACATCGTCCATAGAATAATCTAGCAAGGAAATGATTGATCTCACGATATTAATCGATTAAATCAACATAATACGCAACGTCCTGTTTTCCTTCCTTTAGTTTTATTGTAGAAACGTTTTATTGTTTCTATTGATTTATCCCTACGTTTGTATCGATCTTTTTTTTTTTTTGAATAGAATAAAAGCTCTGTGTTTTGAAATTCAATGGTAATATCTAACAAGTGCATATTATCAATTTTTCAATGACTTCTCCTATCAAAGTTATCTGTAAATTTGAAAAACACATTAGACATAATCAATTTCACAGATATTTTAATATATTAAATAATTAATATTTTCCTTGAATCTTATGGATGACAGTTAATATGAAGATATATATAAACACTTAAGAAAAAATATGAGAGAGCATAAGTGATCACTCTACTCTTCATTATTTACAATAATCAATAGTTTGAATAAAACCATTTGGCATAATCTCCTTAGATTAGTTTCATAATATCTAAATTGTCTTGAAGATTATTTCAAAAAAACAATAAATCATTTCGATATAAATACATCTATTTGTTTTAAAAAAAAACGTTCAAGTATACAAATGTTCTATCTATTAAGGAAGCAGAAAAAATGGGGAAAATAATGGGAAAAACTGTTTTTTGTGTATTTCATTTTTCACCAATTTGGTTTTTTCATTCCACCAACTAATTGACTTCGATTACGGAAATAATCTTGTCGAAGATTTTCATGTTTTTGAACAAATAATGAATAAGCAACGAATGGAAATATATACCAACGTTTAATGCATACTTCTTTCAACCAAAAACGTGTTACTTCCAATGCCATTTGTAGTTGTGGCTTTGTAAACTACGTTTGAAAATCTTTATTTATTAATAAGACGATCTAAAAATCAATGTTTTGATTTGTCATTGTTACTGATGATGAGTCATTCGTAAGTGTTGCGAATAAAATAAAATGATTGGATAATTTATTTATAATAAAAAATATTTGAAAAAAAATTAATTTTAATAAAATTTTCAATGATTTCTTTTCAAAATATTTTATCATTGGTTTATCTCTAATCCAATAAATACCCATTTCCATCCAACAACAATGTGTCTGTCACGTCTGTGTTAAATCATCATTTTTTTTTATCTTTAGTCATAAAATGGGCCTTTGCAAATGTCCTCAACGCAAAGTGTCTACTTTATTTTGTTTTAAACATCATGTTAATGTTTGTGAATCGTGTCTTGTTAGTGAACATCCACATTGTATTGTACGTTCATATGTATCTTGGTTACAAGATAATGATTTTAATCCTAATTGTGCTCTATGTCAACGATCATTAAATGATAGTGATGATGAAGAAATGATACGTCTGATTTGTTATGATTTATTTCATTGGTCATGTTTAAATGCATATTTTCATTCATTTCCAAATCATACAGCACCTGATGGATATACATGTCCAACTTGTCATACATGTGTATTTCCACCAGCAAATCTTGTTTCACCTGTTGCTGATCAAGTACGAGCTAAATTAGCGACAGTGAATTGGGCAAATAGATTACCTATGTTATCAGTAAATGATTTAACTTTAAATCAAGATAAACAACATCAATTATTAACTGAAACAGAAAATAATGGTTATGTAATTGTTAATCCAACTAATAGTGGCAATAATAGTAAACAATCAAGTGGATTATCACATCATCCACATCATAGATCTATCGATATGATACAAGGAACAACAGTATTAACAACAAGAGTATGTTCAGTTTTATTTGTATAACTTTTTTTTGTTAATGATATATTTTATATTTTTAGCCATTACAAATGGATTCCGATGAAGAAGATAAATATAAACGTCGAAGTATTTTTACATGGTTAGCACGATGGTTACGTTCACAGCAATCAACGAATCGTAAAGGTGCTTTAACTAGTAATCGTACACAAATATCACGTACTCGTTTTACAATTTATATGATATTAGTTGTTCTATTTATTTTTCTAACAATTTTAACAGTATTATATCATTTAACACGTGGTGATAATAATGAAAATTTCGATCGTATTAATGATCAACAATTTAATCCATTAAATAATCCATTTATTCGTGTTGGCAATCGTTTATTAAAAAATCCTTTAAAAGATTCAAATTCACCTTTAAACAACAAAGCTCAATCATAATATAAAAAAACATCGTTAATCTCTCTTGTTGGTTTATTTTTTATTTTATATCACAGTTCGATGTGTTTTTTTTTCTCTTCTGTTTGTTTGTTTATATATCGATAAATTTTGTTTTAAGAAGTTATTATAAAAAAAAAACTAGAACTGAAAGAATTCATCTATTATTTTCACAAATCAGATATATATATATATTTCTAGATGAATATTATTTTTCGTCGATTTCTTTCAACTTCAACAGAAAATAGTTCTTATACTATATCATCACGTTTACTTAATCGTAATCCACGTACACTTGAATGGCAAAATTTACAATGGCGTGCAACTGGTTGGTCATTACAATATCCACCAAAAGATTATTTACATCGTGCAAAACTTCTTTCATCTGGTAGACATTTAACTGCACAAATTGATCATTATTATACGGGAAATATCTGTGTACAAGTTTCAACATCAGAATGGGGTATACGAAAACATTTAGCTACATGTAAGGATCGTTCAGTTGCTTATAATCTTGCATTAATATTAGCACAACGTGCTGAAGAATGTGGAATAACAAAAATATATTTCGGACATCCATATGATAAACGATATGAAAATTCTTCACGTTTACAATATTTTTATCGTGGTTTAATTGATTCAAATATTGAATTTGAACAACGTGAAAATAATCAAACACAAATAACGCGAGATTCAATTGATGGTATTAATTATGATGAACATGAACGTGATGTAAGATATACATCACCAAAAATGCATTATCCACCAGATAAATATCAAGAAAAATTACATTATTTTCAATTAGGATTAAATAAAACGAATGAACCATTAGAAAATAAAAGCGATAAAAATTTGTCATAAAAATATTTTTCGTTTGTTTTTTATTCTTAGATTAGAATATTCAGATAATATAATCGTTACACAACACGTTGTTATTATTATTTCATATATATTTTCTTTCAGATGCTAAATCATCTGTTTTCTCGTTTTGTTCCATTATCAATAACAACAATACAACAATCTCTTCGTACTTTATCTTTTACATCTATTCAATATAAACGTTCACATACAGATATACGTGAAGGAACTGTACGAGAAGTAAATTTACATCCAGAAAATATTCAAACACCATTAAGTATTGATGTTGATAAATATTATGGTGGTTCTGGTCAAGTTCGTGAAACAGATTTTGAAAAATTAATTGGTGATACAAATAATCCGGAAGTTCCACAAATGAAATATGAAGATTTACCAATTGTTCATATGAAATGTACACGTAATAATACAATTGTAGATGTTAGTGATTGTACAGGTCAACAAATTTTTCGTACATCATGTGGTGTTGTTGGTTTTCATAATGCAAAAAAAGGTACAACAACAGCAGCACAAGCTGTTGGAATACATATGGGAAATAATTTATCACGACGTAATATGAAACATGTACGAGTTGTTGTTAAAGGTACTGGTCCAGGACGTTTAATGGCAATAAAAGGTTTACAATTAGCTGGCATTGATATTGTTACTATAACTGATAATACGAGTATTCCAACATTACATGTT